GCCGGAAATCAAAGCGGTAGTCTACAGTTTTTATATTATAGTTTAGTAGTTTGTGCTCTCGTTGAGCTGGAAGTGGGAAGCTTTGCTTTTTTTTTGGTAGGAGCAGTGGTCTCGACCTGCTTAAAAAATAAAGTGAGGCGCACAAAAAAAAATATCAAGAGAACTTGACTTTTGATCGAGCAAGTTGTTTCTTGCAGAGTTTTGATAACTGATAGCGGCGTGAAACTGTCCGTATCCAGTGACACTGAGATTGATCATTTAAACACATTGGATTGTTTTCGGCTCAGACATCTCTGAAAAAGCGAGGTGTCGGTACAGTTGAGCAGAAGAACGTGTTGATGGCTGTAATGCAACTGAAGAGCAGAAAAAAGAGACCAGAGGTCAGAAGTCTAGCTGGGATTGTGATGGAGTAATGGAGGAAGTGTGGATAACTGATTGCTGCGTAACTACTAGGAAAGGCAGCAGTAGTTTTTAGTGCACTAAAATGACGCCTCTAATGCAACTTTAAGCAGTATGGTTAACACTTTTTCAAGTTACGTGTTCATGGGAGGTAGCAGTAGGGCGGCTGAACAAGAAAAAAAGTAACGGATAATAATCTGAAGTCAAATAATAAGATTTAGAAGAGTGATTGATGCCGGCTAATTGATTGTGAAAGGGCTAGTAGTACTGTGAACAGATGAGACTGTGCAACGATTCATATTTATCCTTGATGCTTAATCTGTATCTTACCTTCAGTTCCCCTTCGAGTCACTTTGGCTCATTCTTCTGATAAAAAAAGTTCAAAGAAAGAATACAAAAAATATAAGACAAAGAAAAGTATTTTTTAAACTTTGTTCTCAAAAAAATTGCTTTTCAGGCATCAGTTGACTTCCCCTCTTTCTTTCCTTCCATCTCATCCTTCTCCAACTTTTCTTTGATCCTTCTTGAGATTAGTTCATTCCTACCTCAGCTGTCTGAAATGAGCGTAAGACAAAAAAAACTGGTATTTTTTATGCTTTAGCTTCGCAAACTGAGTTCATGAATATTGATTAATGGGAAGGCAATTAATGGAATTTTAATAAGCATTAATATTTGAAAATATTACTGGTTACACGACTTACAAAGTTATTGCTGAAAAAATTTTTACTTTGTCCATTAAAGTTTCTTCACTTTCATGCACTTTTTCTCTTTTGGCTCTTTCAGTGTTGGTGAAAGAGGTTAAGGAAAAAAACTGACCTGTATATTTTTCGATCTCATTCAATTTCTGAAATATGTAATTACAGTTATATAATCGCATAATGTAAACAATTTTACTACTCAGTGGAAAAAATGATTTGAAAGCCTTTGTTGATTGACTGGAATATTGGCTGAATAATGCTAGAGCTAAAAAAAAAAATCAAGCAAAATAAATATATATCTTTATAAACGAGTATTTTCTGCTTTTTTGCAACAACATACCTATTCAGTAGCAAAGGCGACAATTTTAATAACCGAACAGCAATCACAGCAGCAGCAGCGGATAGCTTTTTAGGATTATCTGAAGCACTGAATTCCAGAAAGTGGGTTTTGAGGAAGGCCAGTGGTTGTTTATTGGCAAAAAAAAAAAAAACATTTGAAAACATTGACACAAGTTTACTCCATTTCTTTTTTTTCTCCCTTTTTTTTTCAGTTCTAGTTTTCCACTTCTAGCTTATTCCGATCGTAATCTTCTTTTTGGCTACAGCCACTAGAAGGGCAGTATTTTATGAATTGGATTCTTAGATTTTTCTTTGCTTCACTGTTATCCCAAGTTAGTAACAACAAACTTGAATTCAACTGAGATTGATGAGGTCGATGTGGATGAGGTAGCTGGTAGAACGGGGAGTGGAAAGAGGAGATTGAAACAAAATGGATGCTAATTAGGTAATAAAGGAGGGATGGGAATGTGCAATTGGGGACAGACCGTTGTAATGCTTAACGTCCTCTTTGGTGTGTTTATTAATTTAAATTTTCAAGCTTTCCTTATTGATCGGCTACTACGCTGTTGCTGAGTTTTTATGCTTTCCATGTAGCCGATGCTGCTGCCGCTGTCGTTGTCGTTTTTGCTGTTTTCGCTATTGCTGCTGTTGTCTTTGTTGCTGCTATTGCTGGTGTTAGTGGTGGTGTTACTGCTGCGACTGTTGTCACCTTCACTTCAGTTCAGCTCGATTTGGTTTTGATTTTCCAATAAGACATCACTTTATTGTTGGAACGAAAGACAAAAGAACAAAACAATTTGATTTTCTAGCTTTTATTGATGCTGTAAAAATATTGACTAATGAAAAAAAATTAAAAAACAAATTATTTGCTTTTTTAGAAATTCTGTTTTTTCTTCTTCATGTGTTACGTCCATCATGTATATGTCTGATATATTTATGTTTTGCACTTATTTACATCACCAAATTCTTTTATTAACTTCGACAATAAAGGAAACAACAAAGTTTTTTTGTTCCTTAGTTATTTGAACAGCGTTTTTTGTTCTCCCACAGCACTAGGGTAGTTTTGAAAAATATGAGAAAAAAATTCTGTTTCAAGTGAGGTTAATTTCATCTTTTGTTGAAAAGACTGATTATGCAGAAGTAAAGCTTAAAAAGCTTTACTTCTGCATAGTTTTAAGCTTATATGTATATTTATATAGACTTCAAGCATCAGCAGTTTCGATCAAGCTCTATAAGCATCTATACTTTATGGACACTCTTTTATTAATCACAACCCGAAATTTTTAAATGGGATGTATATTTATTATTTCTTTTTCCATATTTATCATTACTGGACATTTAAAACCTCAGGAGACTGCCCAGGAAGGGAGGAGGAGTGAGTGAAAAAAAGCGACTAAAAATAAAACGATAAAAAAGTGGTGGAAAAAATTGTTCCTGAGATATTTTTTTGGTTTTCGCTTCCTTTTCTTACTTTTTACTTTATTTTATTTTGTTATACACTGTTTTTCGTTCTGTCAATCTTTCTTTCTGCACTTCGATTTTCTTTTGAAATGCAAAATGTAAAATATATTTTGTGGCTTAGATGATTTGTATGTTTTGGTCGGTGAGGAATGATCGAATAAGAAAGAGAGAGAGAGAGCGAAAGGGGGTGCGAAAGCGCTTTGGACGGGTGGAAGAAGGACGCAGTCGTTGATTGTTGATGACTATAAATCCAAGAATTTTATTTTCAGCAAAGTCTTATTGAAATCCTGTTTAATGTCTAATGAAAAAAAAAAAAGAATGGAAGAAAAAAAAAGACAAAGTGTTCCTTACGACAGTGTTTTTTTGCTTCTTGTTGTCGACAACATATGGCCCATCTGTTGCGAACAAATGCACAAAAAGAGAAATCTTTTAGCTAAAGATAAGTCAATTTTAGCAAGTTTACAAATTCATATTGACCACTTAATTTTGGCAGTGAGAGTTAAAATAATGTACAATTATATATACATCAATTAAATTATGTACGTATATA